TTTCCCTAGATTTCCCACAGAGAACCCTCTCTCTGTCTCTTCCATCACTGAATAGGGCCCTAAATCGGCGCCCACCCCAGACATGCTCAGCACAACAAAGAAAAGAAGGACTTGCCTTTGTCTCCGATTGCGCACCCATCCAACCTCCATTGCTGTTTCTGACAATTGCGCTCGCAGGAGCTTCAGGTATGCACGCCCAAGATCCCGGCAGCCCGTCCCCACGGTCCAGAACGGCAAAACGATGCCGGAAATAGAGTTTTTAGGAGGTTTCACACTCACTTTTGCTCTGGCTGAGACGGCTATTCCTTAGCTTCCCTCCCGGCAGTGAGAAACTGTTTGACTGGATATCCGAGCTGCGCAGTCAATTCCATTTTCCATCATTTAACCTGCAGCGCCACCACGCGTCCTCACTAAGTCTTACACTTTCTGGTTTAACATTGGATACCAAATTCTCCTAACGTATAAAACAAATTGTGTTCTGTAACATTAAACACTGAGTTTTAGCTTCGTGTGTTTTTTGTGTGTTAACATAGAACTTGTTATGTGTTTTTTGTGTGTTCAGATAGAATCCTGTGTTGTTGCACAGGAGGTACAAAGGAATAATGATTAAATGAAATAACTTAATTAACATTTAAGCTGAAAATGATACATTTAGGAGCAAATATTTTTCCAAAATAACATTGGAACAGTTTCAAAATACATATTTTCATGGTACATATTATAGAATTACAAATGAGTGTACACTGAAAAATCGAGCCAGAAATGGTTCTAAAGAAAGTGTTTAACCCAATACTTGACTAGAGAGTTGATCACTTCTTTTTTTCCCAACATCTAAGCCTGAAAACTGTGAGGTTCTGCAATTTTCAAATTATCGGACAATTATTTCCCAAATAGGAAGGTCTCAAGATGTGTACCTTACCAAGTTTCACTCTTTTTTTAATAATCACGACACAAATAATTTGTTTTATTCTTTTTTTATTGTCATTATGCCTTTATTTTTATTCTGTTGGATTACACAAACTTTCTTCTACCTCTTTTTCTTTGCTGTAATGTCTTTTTTCTAGAAAACAATTATTTTTCCCTCAATGTCTTTTTTATATTTTCTTGTTAAAGCCTAAGATTTATATGATGGACATTAACATTTTTCAATGAAGTGTCCAAAAGACGTAGGCTGTGTTTGTGCATGTATTTGTGTATGCATACATACACATATGTGTAGCATTATTAATGACTAAAAAGTCTTTTCTAGAGCATTTAGAAAAAATGACTTGGAAGAGAAATGTTTAAATGTATTTCTTTGAAAGAATTTCAAAATTGAAATTAAAAGCACCACCAACTCTCTGATTTAGTTTGTTTGTTATGAAATGTAAGCAGGACTAGTTTTAAATATGTAAAGCTTTCAAACTTCTGATAATATGAATATAAAACAGCTTTAATGAGATATAATTCACATTCCATAAAATTTACCTATTTACCTATTCAGTGGCTTTTAGTATATTCAGAGAGTAATAAATTCTTTACCAGAGTCAATTTTATAACATTTCATTACCTCAAAAACACCGTAAATTTCAGCTATCACCTCCCTATTCCTTCATCCTTCTGCCCCAAGTCCTAATCAACCACTAACTTACTTTCTGACTTTTCTATTCTGGACTTTCATATGAATGGAATAAAACAATATGTGGACTTTTTTGACTGGCTTCTTCCACTTAGCATGTTTTCAAGATTCATCCAAGTTGAATTCATCCAAGACGCATCCAAGCATGCGTCAGTACTTTGTCCATTTTTGCGGCACGATAATATACCTCTGTATAGATACATCAACATGTTTACTATCCATTCCGCTGTTGATGGACATTTGAGGTGTTTCTACTTTTTAAATATTATACAATTTATTTCTGCATGTGGTTTGTATCACGACGACTACTGCTGCTATAAACACTCATATACAAGTGTTTGTGGGGACGTATATTTTCATTTCTCTAGGAATAGGCTTGCTGGGTCATATAACATATCTATGTTTAATTGAAGATCTGCCAGATTGTTTTCCAAAGCAGCTGCACCATTCTGCATTCCCACCAGCAGAGCACCAGCATTCCGACTTGTCCACATCTTCCCAGCACTTGTTATTATCTGACATTTTATTCCAGCCATCCTAGGGGATGTGAAGTTGTATCTCAGGATTTTGATTTGCATTGCTCTGACGAGTAATGATGTTAAACATCTTTTCATGTGCTTATTGGCCATTTGTATATCTTCCTTGGATGAATGTCTATTCAGATCTTCACCCATTTTTAAACTGGGTTATTTGTCTTTTTATAATTGAGTTTTAAGAGTTCTTTATATGTCTAGATACAAGTCCCTTATCAGATTTGTATTATTGTCCCATTTTTCCATTTCTAATATTTGAATTGAATTTCAGCAAAGATTTGTGATATCTTTATCCACTCAGTGTTTTTGTTAGTGATTTTCAGAAGTTTGTTAATTATCTTGACTGGGGTTAAAGCATCTAATCAATGAGGCCTAAATTCTTGGTATAAAAACCTTAATTTGAACACAAATGGTACTACTAGACTGGGTAATTGTCTTCCAAGCAGCCATCTGTTGTGGGCAGAATAATGGCCACCCACCCAAAGAGGTCCACAGCCTAATTCCCAAAACTTGTAAACTGTTATATTTCATAACAAAAGAGATTTCACAGATGCAAATAAGTTGAGGACCTTGTAAAGGGAAGATTATCCTGGATTATCTGGGTGGGACAGAACCTTTCCTGCTTATGGTCAAAGGGAGGTGTGACTACAAAAGAGGGAGGTGTTATTACAAAAGAATAATTAAGGAGATACAAAGCTCCTGACTTTGGAGAAGAAATAATGGAGTCATGAGTCAAGTAATGTAGGCAGCCTAGAAGCTAGAAAAGACAAAGAAATGATTATCCTCTAGATTATCCTCTAGATATCCTCCAGTGGTTTTCAACCTTCCTAATGCCGCGACCCTTTAATACAGTTCCTCATGTTGTGGTGACCCCCAATTTCATTATGACAAATTGAACATAATTAAAGCATAGTGATTAATCACAAAAACAATATGTAATTATATATGTGTTTTCCGATGGTCCTAGACAACCCCTGTGAAAGGGTCGTTCGACCCCCAAAGGGGTCGCGACCCACAGGTTGAGAACCGCTGCTCGAGAGCCATAAGAAAGGAATGTATATCTGCTAACACCTTGATTTTAGCCCAGTAAGACCCATATTTGAGATCTGATCTATAGAACTATAAGGTAGTACATTTTTATTGTTTTAAGCAACTATATTTGCAGTAATTTTTATAGCAACAATGGAAACCTAATGCATAATACAAGCATAGATTTTCACGCACGTAGTAGCTGAGTCAACAAAAATTTATCAGTCTACAAGAATAATATTATCACAGAAAATGCTGAAGAATGTCTGATTCAGTTCTGGTAAACCAGTCTTTCAGAATAAAGGTGTCTATGACCCTTGACATCTTTTTTCCCCCCAGCAAACTTTTAAGAGAAGTTGACAAAGATCTAAGGTTAACTTTAACAGAAAATAACGGGAACCTAACACATTTTCCCTATTAAATTTCCAGAATCTCTAAATTACTTAGTGATAAAAATTCCTCCACAACATTGCCTATACTTTCTTAAATTATTTTAGTTAGGACTAATACCAGAATACAGCTGCATTAAAACAAATGGTATGCTAAAATGAATACACTATATTTAGTTTAAATAAAGGACTTACAAATCTATACATATATATAAAACCCTAATATACAAATAGACTGAATGGTAGAACAACTGAACAACCAAACCAGTCGCTATGATGTGCACTGACCACCAGGGGGTGTGTGCAGAACATGGTGGGATCAGCCATGTCAGGATGGTGGAGCAGGTGAGCAGGGGCGCCAGACCAAGACAGGGCACCAGTCACTGTCATCAGGTTGAGCTTCTGGTGGTTACTGAAAATTCTTTGCTCCCATGCACCATGCTACTGCCCAGCACTCACACCGGCTGCCAGCACTGCCCCTGCTCGCACCCACAGCAGATGCCAGAGCCACCGCTCGCACCCTCTGCTGGTGCCTGGTGCCAGTCCTGATCGTTTGGTGCCATTAGTGGGTGTGAGCATAGGCTGCTGGCCCTGATCGCCCCTGAGGGCTTCTCCACCTCCATCTGCTCCTGAGGGGTGATTGGGGCACCTGCTGATGCCTGCCCCAGTCGCTCAGTGGGTGCCAGCAGCAGCAGCAGAAGCAGGGCTACCAACAGACAGGGGACCAAAGCCGTGGTGGGAGGGGCTGGGCAGGAGCATGGAGCATGGGCTGAGACCCACCCCTGTGTCCATGGCCCACCGTTCCTCTTAAGGTGCATGAATTCATGCACTGGGCCCTAGTATGTATGTATGTATGTATGTATGTATGTATATATAATAAAGCAAGTTTGAACTTTCCAAAGGAAATGAAAAA